AAGAAGGTGATCAGTGAAAACACAGTGATGACAACAAAAAATGAAACCAATTACCCATAGAAGAATAAATTAATTAAAAGAAAAAAATTCTAAACAGAAAGAAAGACCTGTAAATAGATCAAGGTCTGATTTTTGATCTCTAGGCATGTCCTTCAGTCAGGACCTATGGAGTACCATGCTCTGGCCCCCACATCTGTCCTTTGTACTCCCTCGGGGGCCCTGCTCTGTTCCCACAGTTGGTCTGCCGCACACTTTTAGTGGTTTGCCTCAGTGTCTCAGGGTTAGTCTGGGCCCATCCCGACACTGAGTCTCCAGTGTTGTCCCCCTTAGAGTCCGGGGCCATCAAGGGATAGCATGACTCGTGGTGGGATCAGCCATATTGTCCACTCTGTCCATTGGCTGTTCAGAGCGGGGATGTCGTCCTCCAGGCCTGGTGGGTCAGGATGTGCTCCACTCTCTCTTCCTCCCCCTAAGGGCTCCCATGTGCTCTGATCAGACATGCCCCTCTCCTCTAGCTGCAGCTTCAGTTTATTTTCAGTGTGTCTCCACTGTGTAAGCCATTTCAGTTAGGCAACTTTGGATTACCTTCACTGAAAATCTTGCAACTCTTGAAAAACCCAGTTTAGAGAAGCATGTAGGGAGAAAAGAAGAGGCATCTCTGTGGGATTACTTTTAAGAAACAGAGCCAATTCTCCAAAATAAGGAGCGAGCAGGAATTTGGGAAAAGTTACGAGTCTGATTGTCTTTCAGTGTAAGGTTTATCATAACTGAACATAGATTTTGTGTAACAAAATAGGTACCTTTTTTTAAATTAAATACTTTTATTGGGGGTTTTTACATCTCATTACAATCCATACAATCATCCATTGTGTCAAGCACATTTGTACATATGCTGCTATCATCATTTTCAAAACATTTTCTTTCTACTGGAGCCCTTTATATCAGCTCCCCATTGCCCCCCTCCCTCTCCTGCCTGTCCTCCCTCATGAACCCTTAATAAGTTATAGATTATTATTTTAATATCTTAAGTGGTTCTCTGTTGCCCTTCACACATTTTTCTGTTGTTCGTCTCCCCTGGAGTGGGTTATATGTCGATCCTTGTGATCGATTCCCCCTTTCTCCCCCCATCCTCTCCTTATCCTCCTGGTATATCTATTCTCATTGTTGGCCCTGAGGGGTTTATCTATCCTGGATTCCCTGTGTTTCGGGCTCTTATCTGTAGCAGTGTACATGTTCTGGTCTAATCCAATTCGTAAGGTAGAATTGAGGTCATGATAGTGGGGGGAGGAAGCATTAAGGAACTAGAGGAAAGC